GGGGTTGGCGTGCGGTTATCAACCCCCTGTTATCACGTATTTCAACTCCTGTTCATCCATTTCAGCAATGTATAGTATACTTCCACAGATCATTGCAAAAGTCTTTTTGGGGTCCTTGATTTGTTTATGAAGCTCTGGAATCTGTTTATCTGCATTGTTTCTAGAATATCTATGTTTAACTTCTATTTTCTGAGAAGTTGCTTCCTCTGGCTTAATTGACCTGATTGTGATCTTTGGATATTTCTTTGAGGAGGAGGCAATAGTTTCATGGAATTTTGGATTCTTCAAAGGTTCAGGAGGGTAAGCTAATTCACTCTTGACCTCCCTTAATTGTTGGGTACAATAAGCTCCATATGATTCTTGAAATAATAAAAAGAACACACACATTATTTTTTCATTTCAAATTCAACAAGAAAAACAAACAAAAAAACAAACCATCATTTTGATGCTGAATGCTAGTGGATGCTTTTTCTCCTTTGAAAAATACTGCTGGATGATTTTTGGATAATCTCAACTCTAATTGGGGCCCAGGACCTAGTGGATTTCACTTTTTGTGTCAGATTTCATGACTCTGGTAATTTTTAGTAAATCTTTCTTACTTTTTTCAACTTTAATCTCGTTTTTGGATGGCTCTAATACAGTGCCACTCTGTGAATTTTGCACATAATATGTTCTTGGCTCAGAGGCCTCCCCTGCTTGGTACTCGGAAAGCTTTCTCTTACTTGGAAGACTTATGTGGGAGCTTTGAGCTATTTAGTAAGCATGAAATTAGTGTGATAACTAAACATGTGCTTAATTTAAGAAGAGGGGATTTAAAAGATCAATATTTCTCACAAAAATTCTCAATATTCTTGGCCTTTGTTTCTGGGCTTGAGGCTTCTTTGAAACCAGCTTGGAACTCATTTCCCATGGTTAAGGAGCCTTGGGCTACTTCCAACAATGTTGCCAAGTAGTTATTGAATAATGTGAGTTAGAGAAAAAAAAGCATTGGATCAATTTCAAAATGCAGCTTGAATTGAACGAATTAAGAAAATTATACATACTTCCATCTTTATTTTCATGATCCAGTAGATAATCTCCGCTTGAGATTCCTTTTGGCATCTTTGGGAGAGGATCTTTGTAACAACCACCAACTGAAAGGTTTAAATCTATCCAAACACGATCACCCAGGAGATCCCTAAAAATGAGGAGGTCAGCTCACCCAAATCAAGCTCAGTGTTCTAAAAACAATTCACTCAACTGATTCCCACAATGTTGAAAATCTTGCTTTCCAAGCCCAATCAGTTCTCCAGGAGTGATTCCTGATTTAACTGCAAGCACATGCAGGTGAGCAAGAAGAGCAGTGATTTGAATTCCAAAAGAAGCTTTCATAGCTTATGCTTCTTAAAGGAAAGTATGGATGCAAATTTATAAGTTGAAGATTTTATGACAAATATACCTCCTTTTATGTTGCTGTCTCTTTGGCAATGAATGGAATATCAATTTTATGATAATGAAACATATAGGCTACTTTTATCATGGCAATGAAACTTATATATACTATACTTGTTTCAAGTATTGTAGGGGGGAAGGCTCACTGGGTAGTAAAGTAGACATGCATCAGTGCATTCAAGTCACTTAAATATCATACTCCTTGTCACATGAGGTAGCACTTTCCCTGCTATCCTACCCACCATGCATGCATGGATCCAAGGATCATAAGAAATTTATTGATGGCTGTGGGCACTACAAACCCCTGACTGGGTTAAGGACATCATATTTAACCTGGGATTCAATTAACCCATTTGAGAGCATCTTTACTGGTTTGGTTAAGTCTAAGATTGCTTGTTGAAACTCAACATGTCACAATACATATCTGTGAAACCAATGGCAGAATACTGAACTGTGCTTTAACTTTGCAACCCATTTCCACATCTAATATCAAACGCAATCTCGAATCTTGATTGTCATTGTGTCAAACCTAATTGCCTTTCAAATCTTGAGTACAAAAACGGTCCCAATCTCAACTTCAGTTTTCTTCAGTCTTCTTGCCAGCAGCGGTGGGCCGCTACGCTACGCTAGGGCCAAAAGCGTAGCGTAGCGGCGCTTTTTTTGCGCCAAATTTTTGTAGTGCATTTTTGCTACGCTACACTGCGCTACAGCGCTTTTAGCGGTAAAAGCGGCTAAAAACCGCTAAAATCCGCTGTAGCGCAGCATAGTGGGCCCTTTTTTGCGGCCCACATGCGTAGTGTTAGCGGTGTCATGGTGGAATTCCGCTACGCTACGCTTAATGCTAACGGGAATTCCGCTGTGTTACGCTACACTAACCGCTACGGTTAGTGTAGTGGCCCACCGTTGTTGCCAGGTTTGCTGGCAGTGTGCATGCAGCATGATCAGTGTGCATGCAGCATGATCACCAAAAATAATGATGTGTGCCAGTGTGTGGTAATTTCTTGGAAAGTATTTATCAAGTTTGGTAGGAAGCTTCCCTTGAGAATTGTGATCCCACCATTGAAACTGGTTCAACATTGTGTATCAGCAAACACAGCTCATTGCAAATTAGCAAAGGCTTTGGTGGAAGATAAACCCCCTTGATGTCCCTCTGTTCAGCACAATGCAACCGGTGGTTTATAAGCACTCTGTACTAGTATAAGAATGGAGGTACTTGGCTCAGTTAGGTTGGGCATCAGGTGAAAAATTGAACCCATATAATAAGGAAATGACTGATGAGCAGGATTGCTGTGAGTCTATAAGCAATGCAATCTTTCAAATCTTTGATAGTTGTGATTTATCAACATGTTTGGCTAAGGTCTCATGTCTAGAGCCTCTACCATACTGCAAGTGATCTTTGAAAAATGGTCATTTTTTTCTGTCTCCTTCACAAAAATTTAAAACAATTGGAGATACATGGTGTTGAAATTCTTCATATTTGAGCTTATAAGACCATCTCCACCCGGGAAGGTAAACTGCGCGGGTAAACCAAATTCACCCCCCCAAGCCCAAAATTCCCCTACCACCGGGGGTGCTAAAGGGGAGGTAAATATAGTCCCCCCCCCCCCCCTCAGGTTGTATAGCATTGCCAGATGTGCAATCACTATACCAACCCATGTTCCTCCCAAACCCAACGGTTCCACAGGTCAATCCTGGTAAATCCGGATTACCCCCCCCCCCCCCCCCCTCCGTGGGAGGGCCTTTCACAAACCAGGAGTGTGGATAGCACCCTGCGGTGGAAAATAATTTTTCCAAGGGTTGCTATCCGCCCGCCGCAGTCCTGGAGTTTGTAAATTTACCAACTCAGATGACTCTGCGCGGTGGAGATGGTCTAAATGGCCTTTGGTGAAGGTCACTTTTGATTATATGAGAATTAGAGGAACATAAATTCTGAATAATTATGAAAAATTGAACTTTTCATGCCATATGGTATAGGCCCTAAGTGCCATCAGATTTGAAGCATTTTACATGCATACCCTCCAAAGTTTCTTTTGTGTTTGAGTGGATGACAGCAAGCCACTTGCACTTGCGCTTATGAAAACAAAGAGGAAGATTGATGTGATGGAAGAGATTGGATTATATAGGAGTTTGGACAACAAAAGAACAACAGCAATTAAAACAACAGATACAAAATCAGGACAATGAAGTTAGTAGAAGCAGAACAAAGGATACAGCTCTGCAACAGAGATGAAATCAGGAAAAAAGACAGAGTGTGTAGCATGGTCAAGGATGAAAAGAAAACCAGAGAGATAGTCCGATTGAAGGAGTCTAGTAGATCAGAAAGTGCCCTTCAAGCCCCCCGAGTTGGAAGGGGGCTCGTGAAGGAAGTCTCAACCGTGGGTGTTTCTTTGAGAATTCCTCCCAACAACAACACAAGAAGAACAAGAACAAGAACTCTTCCAAAGTATAAGAAAACCAGATCTCCTCAGTCCCCTTGCTGGATCCTCAACTGCCATACTTCTCAGCACCCCTTCCTAACAAGCAGTTCTTCTATTACCACAAAAAATACATACACAGTAGTAGAACCCATGGTCCCCTGAGCTTCTCAGTTGTTTCTCCTATTACCTGATACTGGCTCCTCCCAACCTTGTCGCACAGACTTCATCGAGCCCTTCCAAACAAACACCACCTGTCTTCTTCTCACCTCACAAGCCAACTGTCAATATCATGCCCAACAGTCGACGCCAATCAGCCATCGAATCCCAACCGAATCCCAGCTCGAACCCATCCAAAACCACCCCCTCCAGCACAGCCCACCAGCCAACAGCTGCCGGTGCTCGGTTGGAATCAAGCATTAATAGGAAGTTCCATGCCCTAGGAACCCCAACCAACGCGACCAACGCGAGCACTCCTTCAAGAAATTCAATATCCCGAGCAGCACTCGCATCCGAACCACGCAGTTTACCCAAGCATACTAATCACAACCATGTCAATAACGATACCGCAACTACTCAGTCTGAAGCTACCATTGGAAATCATAACAAACCATCCAGTCTCACTGGATCCAAGAAACAGAACAGTAGAGCTGCAGCCGGTCTTGGCTTACCTTCATCAACCACCGGCACCATACCAGCCAAACGCAATCTAACCACGTCGGATATCCCCTCAAGTACCAGCAATAATAATAAGAAAAACAAACAGGACGCTGGGGCTCAATCGAAGAATGAGAAGAACCTCACACTTTCAGTCGATACCTTAAGATGCCATCAATGTCGCGCCGAAGTCCCGCTGGAAAATGTGATCATGTGTTCAAATGAGAATTGTGCTCGCACCATCCCTCGCAAAAGAAGGAGCGAATCGGGCCTGAATCCTTCGGCCAAGTCTCCTTCTACTTCCTTGCAGGCCCCTTGTCGGATCAGCTTTTGTGGAAGATGTCTTTCAGCAAGATAGTCAGTATTTTTTAACTCCCCCCCTTTTTTTACATGAATAAAATTTAAACATAATTATTCACGTCAACTTTTTTTTTTCTTTCTAAATTTTCAAAAACACTTGAATATAAATAACAATAATATTGGTAATTAGTGGGGAAGATTTGAAAAAAGTACGGCCCACGGTGAATGCCTTATACGAATGGGACTGTCCCGTATGTCAAGATTACTGCAACTGCTCGATTTGTCGCAAGAAGAAAGGACTACCACCCACTGGGTAAGTTTCAAAACTATTATGTCTTTTCTTTCCTTCTTTAATCATGAGATGCTCATTGTTGTTGTTATCCGGACTTCTCATGATTTACTCTTTGTAGGAAATTGGCTAAGGTTGCTACCCAAGCTGGCTTTTCTTCGGCGCGTGAATTACTCGCAGCAAACCCAAATGCTCAGGTATGAATCCTTCCAAAATACTTTGCTTGGCTTAAATCAATGAATTTCACGTCTTGAGATTGTAATTGACGCGTGTTTTTCCACTTTTTTTTCTGCTTTTTTTTAAAAAATTCAGGGACCAGACATTTTGAATCAGGAAGCGAAGAAGAAACAGTCGTCCAGCTCGACGGCAACCAGCCAAGTGAAACCCAAACCAGACGGGACGAACAAGAAACTAATGAAGCTAAAGACCCCGGGAAGCTTGACCCCAAAATCCAAGAAACCCATGGCGACGACGACCAACAAGCTGATGACGAAGAAAACAAATCACAAGAAGAAGATGAGCAGTCAAGATCCCAAGCATCTCGAGGTCGTCAAGAAGCTGAAGAAACAACAACAGCTTGGGAAATCTAAACCCAAGAAATCCGATCCATCCTCCTCCTCCGCCTCCTGCAATAAACAAGCCTCCGCGTCATCTAAACAAGCTCCTTCCGCGCCCCTGGTCAATGGGAACAACAAAGTCACTGATCCACCGGCTGGAGCAGAAGTGATCGCCAAAGCACCCGGAAGACGAGCCCCACATGTCGTCCAAGCCCCGGTTTCATATTCATGCATCCCGACCGGAATTCTCAGCTCAGCACAAATCCTGAAACGCTTACATGTGCGCGAATTTATCTGCAGATTCAAGGATTTGATCCCCGGATTGGGGGCCACAGAGGCCAAGAATTCGAGGACCGAAAGCCAGAGGGCCGAGAAGATCATAGACTCGATGGACGATCTGGTGAACTTTTGGATCGATGATGAGGGCGGCATGCGGGCTATCATGAACGGCTTAACTCGTCTCATCGAGGCTGACTTCAATCTCGTCGATCAGTCGACTGGCGACCGTCCTTCTTCTTCTTCTCCCATCTTGAAATCGGCTGCTAGTCCCGCTCTCCTCGCTCAACTTAAACGCGAATGTAAAAACTCTAGCACCCCGATTCCTTATCATCAAAACTCGGTTCCTTGTTGGAACAGTCAGTACTGTTTTTTTTTTTTTGTCATTTCCCCTTTCTTTTCTCTAATATCTTACTAATTAAAAAACCCCAATTCATCGTAATTAAAGCTGCGATAAATCTGTTGAAGGAAGAAGGATTAGAATCGACATTCGAGAAAGATACCCAAGATCCGTACATCTCGTCCGTCGATGGCTCTCCTACTAATGAGCATTCCGGCGATGAACGACTGCAGAGAGTCAAATTCCCTCCGGTCAAGAAACTGGCTATCATTACCGCGTTGATCGATATCGCGTTGAGAGGTCATACACTCTGTGAAGATCTCATCCAGGTTAGAATTTTAATACCATTATCATTGGGTTGAAGATCTACCTTTTTCAAAAAACAATCCAATCAAGTTTTATTTTTTTCTAAATGATTTATCTAATTCTTGATTTTCAAAAATCAAACAGGGTTTAGAAAGAGAAAAGCAAGCGAAATCGGATATTCTGAAAGAGCGAGTGAAGTCGAACAAGAAATGGACCGAAACCAAAGCCCAGAAGATGTCGACGATGCCGTCGAAGAAGTCATTATTGGTGACCTCAGAGGACGGCCAGATGATCCAGAAGCCTAGTAAAACGTTGGTGGATCAGGAGGCTGCTCGGGTCCAGGCGCTTGCCGAATGGGAAGCCGATGTCAGTCTACAGCCGCTTCACTCTTCCTCTTTTCAAATTCCTTCTCATGATCATTCCATTTGAGGGATCACCATTTATTTAGAAAACAATTTAAGGGGACGAAGATTTGCTGACAATCTTTTTCCCTAATGATTGGACTGTTTCTGAAAAAAAAAAAAAACAGATGAATCAAGCGGAATGCGCGCACAAGGACGAGATCCGCAAGTCATTTATTGATCAATACAAAGTCGAATCCCTGAACCGACTAAGGTTCCAATCGATTGGCCAAGACTCGCGGAAGAATACATATTACATCCTCAGCAGCACGCCGGGGGTGTTGTATCCGAACGACCCGATCGAACTGGCGTATTCCTGGAGTTACAGCTTGATCATCCACGGCTCCGAGCCCACGAATTTGAAGAAGAAGAAAAGCCAGGCATCAAAGAAAACGAACCAGAGTGCCACCACTGCTACCACGTCGTCGGCAACTGATTCATCCATGGTTGCCGGCAAGGCTGAGCAACATGAAGAGACTCAGATCGATATGTTGGAGGGCGGTCAACGGGCTCCTAACGATCAATGGATTCGGATCTCCGAGCCTAAAGAGATCCGTCAATTAGCCTCGTGGATCGAATACGAAGCCAAACTAATCGACTTCAAAAACTCCATCAATTCCTCCTCCTCTTCTTCTTCTTTGAGTGGGCCCAACAAAAAGACACCCAATTCGAACACCGCCAAGCAACAGACCCTGGCTTCTCTTCATCCACTCGCCGATACGTCCCCGTCTTCGCTGCATCCATCCGCTATTGATACCTGCTCAAAAAGCGTCGCTAATCTCGTCGAGCTCGTCAATCGCTTCTCGGAATTCTTGGACTTGAAAATTAGTCAACATCGAGAATCTACTCATAATGATCGGAGAGGCCTTAAGTCTCGAAATCACTCTTAGACTTTGTTGTTGTTTTGTTTGTCTATGTCTTGTAGATTTGGTTTCTTTTTTTTTTTCTCTCTCTTTTTTCTCTCTATGTTCCTTTTTGTAATCACTTGCTAAAAAAACAGTAAAACATTTTTTTAAAGATGTTGTGTGCTTGTCTTCTATATATTTCTATACTCCTTAGAGATCTAAATAATTCGAGTAAATAAGTAGATTCTCTATAATCTGATTATGTTTACCCAATTCCTTCTTCCAAGTCAGCTTAGATGATTCACTTGTAGCTGATTTCTTCTGCTTAAAATTGTTCTCTAGGCTACTTGTCATGAATGAGAGCCCAAATTAGAAACCATGCACCTTTACAAAACCAGCACGACGAGCTAACCTGTTGAAGATCACAAATAGCCACAATTGATCCTTTCACTAAGAAAACACTTCATTTGCTTCTCATTCTAAACTCTTCACTGTAGTCTATGCCAGACATTTCTTTTGTTTACCAGTACGTTGTAAATGGCCCATAGCAACCAAGCACCCCTCCGTCCCAAAGACTTGCCGCAAAAGGAGTTTAATTCAGAGCTGGCATCTGTCCAGCCAGTGCTCAGACAAGGCCAGACCCAATGACACCAATTAGTGCGCATACACAGTGACTTAACTTTTCTCTTATCCTGGGCCTATATAGCTTATCTTGGGTTCCTGTGAGTGTCGTGTCTCTCTTGATCATTTCTATGCTTCAAGATGATGCTTGTTTAATTATATTCAAAGCAGAAGGAAGTTTGAGGATCCAAGGACAAGGCTTGGTAATGGTAGTCTAATTTATGAGTGCAGGGATCTATTCTAATCACTGATCCGAGTAAACAAACACTTTACTAGCACCCAATCATATCAAGTGAATGCTGATTTGACATGGCAGGTCACGGTGGAATCTAATTAAATGATCAATAGGTAAATGTGAATATTTATACTTGATAAAGACACATGGAGGACTTCTTGTTGCAATTTAGAGCAATATTTAGACCTCTCCAAGTCCTATACTAACCATGCAATCAAAATCACAACCAGCTCACATGACAACAGGAAGTCATCCAATTCAATGATTGGTATTTTGATTGAATTTTGATGGTCCAGCATCAGGGTATATCAGATCACCAAATCTTTTATGGAATCCTCAACTTTAGATTAATGCTTTCTGTACTGGAAGCTCAACTTTTTTTTCCTTCAAGCTGACTGGTGAAAGTTTGTAAGATACAAAATTGGCTGACCCATTTGTGTTCACTTGCAATGCTAGTACGGAGCCCTTGGGCCCTCATTAGAAGCCCGTTCTGTCGGAAGATTGGCTTCATGGAGGGTTTCGCCTACGATCGTTAGCATCTGAGAAAGGTTGTGATCTTGAATCCAAATCCATAGATGAAATGGCGAGAGTGACGCTTCCCAGATGACAGCTTGTCCCGTTGGATTTGGAGCCCGGCACATTGGACATGTGTTTGATTTGAGACACCATTTCCCTAGGCATGTCTGGTGAAAATAATGCTCGCACTTTGGGCATTGGATTCTGGCTCGGTTGTCTTCAGACCAAGATTGAATGCAAATGCAGCAATGGCCATTCTCCTATAGATAAATCGCACATGTTAATTTACCTGCCAAAGGATTTCAAGTGCGAATTCTTTATAAGAGAAAGAATCAAACTAACTTCACGTCTCATGTCACAGTGAGTGGTCCCAGATGGACCAGAAAGCCCTTCGCGATTTGAGTTCTCTGCGGTCAGCTCACTGCCTGTGAGTTGTTTGGACGAATCTTCCAATGTACTACTCAATTTTTCAGAGTGATTTATGACACTTAAATCGGCCGACTGACTAAGCTTTTTATAATCAAGTAGAAGGAACGGAAAGTTCAAGAAAAAAAAATTAAGCCGTGAACAAAATTGGAGGATGAAAATATGCAGCATCATGATGAAGTCGCCAACCAAGATGATCCAGGACCAAACAGCCAACTTCATCATATCCAGAACAGCAAAGGCTGGATTATTTTCTCGAAATAGCAAGTGTTTCTACTTGCCCAGTGTCTGCAAAGAGAATATGTATGCTGCGGCCGGATTTGTCGGGATGGTTAACAATTTTTTCTGTCAGTAGAACGAATTATTCAGGATGAGTCAGAAATGGCGACATAGAGCCTTCTATTTATATTCCCATTTCCTAGTGCCAAAAGAACAACCGGGCCAGATCCACTTCTTCCTTGCTTTTTTCGCAACCATGGGGCCCTCTGCAGCAACTGCTGTTTTGCAAAGTTCCGCAAGAGACGAAAAAGCTTGCAGAATATTTGTCTTGAAACGTGTTTCTTTGAATGGTATGATCGAGTTAAATCTGAAAATTAAGGAAACGTTTCTGGTAGGCTTGTCACACCGGCAGCTGGCCTCCTTTATTTCAGTCCTTCAGACTTCTTGAGCAAGCGGCGGACCAATGACTTCCACGCAAGTCAAGACGGAAATATTATGCATGTAGACACACTTATCGCAAGTAAACTATGGATTTTCAGGATCATGAAACCTCTGATCTAGCACAGCGGCGTCGTCCCCTCTGCAAAGTCACTCAGATAAGAGATTTGGCTTCTTTTTTGTTCGACACCCGTCGCATGTCCAGGTTGAATCCAGTATTTTGATTCTGTTTTTCGCGGAATTTTGAGAAATGAAACTATCTGTTCTCCTAAATCAGGAGTAAGATTTCTTCATCCGGTTGCCCTTCTTTATATGAATGCATTTTCGCATTGTTATTGCGGCCCGCAACGGAAAGAAAGGGATAAATCTTTGAATACCAGACTCGCTAGCTGCTATCGAAGCTACCGCAGAAAATTCTTGGATTGGAATGAAGAAGAATCGCCACCCGCTTGTTCGGCAACACGTCCCATGAGCCGTGGTGGCTATTCTTATGTTTCCCTGCAAAGAGACACTGTACATTCAAAAGGATCGACGGATTCGTTGAAGGAATGATATATAGGAGTACAATTAGTCGGACAAGCTTTGAACCTGTTGTCTCTTTCTAGAGCCTAGAGGGACAGACACGGTCAAGGAATTGGCGGTTGGCATCGGATTGCGTCGGAAATCTAAAAAACAAAAATTAGCATTAAGTATTGCATGTGACATTGAACCTGCTTGTGCTTCAGGAGGACACGGGAAGTGGCCAAAAATCAGCAGTTTGGTTTCCATTGATCTGTTTGATCCATTTTGCATGGCCATTCATCATTCACGTGGCTACCCTTTGGCCGAGGGCGGGAGGGGGGGGGCACAAGGCGCTCAGCAACTCTGAAACTTACAAACGGTCTTTATACTATAGTACCGGAAAGCCAGCCATTTTTTGGTTTCTTGTTAATGGAGCCAAAAGTGAGTTTTTTGCTTGTTCAGCACTTTTACAATCTTCAAGAACAAGTAACTTGCGCAAACAAACACTGAAAACTGAACGAGACAAGAAAGAAGTTGATAGGGCTTCAAAAAAAAACGCAAAACATTCATGTCATCTAGTGAGTACCCTTATGCGAAAAACTTTAATCCATGCAATTTTGGTAAGTGTTGTGTTGGTTTTTGACCAAAGATTCACATGTTTTGGCTACTCACCTTTTATGGAGGTCGTCTGGTTCATCACTTGAATCAGGATTGGGGTTGTATTCTTTGAGAAGATCTTGAATTCTTTGCTTAGCAGCTGTTGTTATTAGTGTTTGTTCAGTTTTTTCCCTTTGGCATATCCGACAATTCGTAAATTTCTTTCCTTCTTCCGCCAAACTGTTATAACAGGTTTGATGAAACTGATGGCCACGGTCTTTGCAATAGGGTGCGGTTATTGGTACTGGCTGGTGGCAGATCGAGCATGACAAATTTCCCTGCATCTGCCCAATCACCTCCACATGTTACTTGAAAAGATCAAGATTTGAATAATCTCCAACAAGCAGTGAAAACTCACAGATTTTTTGCTATGTTGGCGAAGTGACGGTCCATAAACATTTTCAAACTGCATTGGCTTTGCCACCGCGGCACTGAAACTGCTTTCTTGGGAACACTTTTCATTATAGAAAAAATGACAAAGGGACATCAGCTCCATGAAATTATATGACAGCATTCGGTTGAATCCCGAATGGCTTAACCGGGCATGGATCAGCAAGAAAGAACAGATCAATAAAAGAAACTAAACTGTGAGTGTGAGAATGGACCAGAAAAAGAATTCAGACGCTTGAAAACCCGTAGTACGACGGCCGATCAAATTCATAACAAAAATGTGGAAGATCTTGTTTTTTAATTGGCAACCCTGAACAAGAATGAAACAAGTGCAACTAAAGGAAAAAGTTGCTGATCGGATGGGCGTATTTTAAGAGCACTTGAGTCGAAGGCCCAAGGAAAGAAAAGTTAATCTCCACATAAACCCCAAGAATCCAAGAGTTGGGGGTGGGGATTGAGGAAAGCTTCAACTAACAATCCATTGAAGTTGTATAGGGTCCGGCCGAGTTTATGGAGATCATTGCGTAAGAGTTGTCAGAAACTGTACTACTTATCACAGAAAATAAGGGCTCCAAATTGAACACCAAGCCAGGTGTGGTCCCCCGATGAACTTCGATCAGGACGATTCTCCGACTCAAAGCCACAAATCTGCTGAAAAGAATCAAGTCTAGATCTAATCAACTTCGAAGCTTGGAATGATTTCAAGGAAGTGCATACCAACTTTCATCGCCACTTTACCCTCAATTGTCAGTCTTGAGTTGCGGGATCCGTATTTGAATCTGTACTTCTGGAGTGAACTCGCTCGGCATCAGTTTGTAGGCCGAGAAGTGGGGAAAGGGCCAATTGGTGCCTTAAGTGCTACTTCAATTTTCTCGCAGCCATACAACTGCTAAAAAGAATGAATGTGACTGTAACTGTGACATTGACACATCAAGCTTGTCAAGAGTTCAATGAGTGTGAAGAAAATTGTACCAATTATTATTGCCCTTTGACTCTCCACGTACAACTGAAATAGTCTTGAGTTTTACTTTGATGCCCTGTTTGAAGCTGTATTGGATGACTTCCCGTCGCGGTTTACAACCCTCCCAGAATTTGATTTACACCCCCAAGATCTTAATTTTTGATATAAAAAAATATTTTTTCATAAGCCTTGGGAAGATAGCTCTCATGTGAGCTGGTTGGAATTATGATTGAGGTGTAAATTTAGGACTGGGGAGGGCTTAAAAAGCACTCTAAATGGCGACGGGAAGTCCTCCATTCCTCAAGTGCCTTCGCTGGGCATTGGACCACAGAAGCGGGGAAAGGGTCAAGCACCATTGGCATTGCACCTCAAATACTGGTGTTGCACAAGATCTGGGGTAACAAATTGCACTGAGATATGCAATTTGCTCACATATTATTCTTTTACTGCTGAAGCAATACTATGAAGTTGGGGCATTAACAGTTAGGATTTAGGCAAGTCCAACATGAGAAAATTCTCCTGCAGTTGAAGACAGCACTGCAACTGGTAAGTACAAGGCAGCAAGTCCCTCTATACCATGTACCCCAAAATTAGTTTTGGGCAGGAAAGGGTTGAGACCTTGGACAACATTGAACCCCTGTATCAGACCCAAGAGCCCCACCTATGAAAAGTTGCAAAGTTTGGTGCAAGCAAACAAACTATCTCCTCTCACAAGGATGGGCTGGCAAGTCAGGTCAATTATTATTTGACAGGAGAAACTTAAGATTCAGAGTCTGCTAGCTCAAACTTATCGCAAGTCTCAGGCTGCGGGGGGCGCATCTGGCAGCGTAGCGCTGGCCAGGTGGTTCCCGAAGGGAACTCCCCGCAGGGGAGACTTGGGCCAGAGGTCAACAAACTCAGGTGCTGAGTTTCGATTGTTTTGGTGGGAGCGTCACAAGATTTGAAATCCTGACGCTCCCTCAAAACTTTTTTGATGTTTGGTCTCGGATTTTTAAAAACCTGCCTGATCTTATTGATCAGACAAAATTTCAAAGTTTTAGAATCACAAAAACAATTAATAATGATTTTATAAAATCAGCATTTGAGCTTTCTTTTACGCTGACATAAGCGGTTTGATGAACTCGCACACGCCAAAAAAGCTCGACTTCAGTTGAAAAGTTGTCATTTTCAAAAATAACTACATCAAAACTCACAACATGACACAAGAATGTGAGCAGAGGGAAGAATGTACAAGAAGCAGACCCTCCTTGGGCCACAAGTAAATTAGGTAACAGTGGAAGAAGAAGAGCATAGGCAGAAAAATGCACAGAAAACTGGTTTTCAAGCCCAATTTTGGAAACTCAGCACACGGGGATTGCCACATCTGTCTTAGGCCTCCACTGGCGTGGACAGCTCCGCTGCTTGCTCTCGCTCCCGCCGTGGAGGACTAGTTAGGCTCGCTGCTAGCTGATTCTTCAGTGTTCTCTCAACTCCCAAACGTAAACACCTACTAGGCAAACTTTGAGGCAATTTTCAGCACATTCATGAATCCAACATCAATTTTTTTGTGAATGATCATTGGTTTTGGACCAATCTGAACTGTGGGTAAATTTTGTAAAAATCCAACGTTGGATGCTCTAAAAATAGCACTAAATTCAGATGTCAACTGTCCTACTTAGTCTGGCGTTAGCCTGGTAAACCCTAGGATAGACAGGTGTTAGTTGAAAATGGGTTCATATCCATAAATAGGGGGGAGGGGGCAATGAGGCCCATGCAAACTGTACTTTTGCCTGATCATGACCACTTTCATCAGGCTTGCTATTCAAGCTGCTCTATATTGGGTGGCAGACTATTCAGCAGTTCAGCAATACCCCTCAAGAGAGACAGTTTCATAAACATTTTATCACTCAAAATATGTATCTTCTTTACCTCCCCCACAGCATTTCTACTTGATCTGGAAGAGAGCTTTGACAGGTTCATGTGACAACTGGGTTCTGGGTCCAGCCCCAAAGCCGCATTGCTTCAACTTTTTGGCACCAATCCCACATTTCTATGGATGATCACATCCATTGCCAGATCATTCATCACAGTCAAATCTTCTGGAGCATTCTGAATCTTATAACAATGTCACTCATCCATCTAGGAAGCTTTAAGACTATTGGTGGGCTTGCTACACACTACTATATATAGCACTATCAGTATCCAATCAACAATGAATCCAACTTCTTGATTCATTCAGAAAAAGAAAAAGAAAAAATTGTTGAAAGAAAGAGTGAAATTGTTGATTGATTGCAATCATTAGGATTTTTTCTTCTAGACTGTAAGTTTATTTGTTTGATTTTCTGCAGCGAAAATGAATAATTATAAGTAGTAAAAAGGGCCACTAGACATTAGTTTGACAGACCGACAGCATCCAACAGATTATTGATGGCCACATCAAATGATTTATTGAAATTAATCAACCAAGAGTGGAAATGATGATGATGATGATTAATTGGAACAAGATGAGGATCATCAGGAGGTGAACAAGGAATAAAATAAACAAAGAGAAGAAGGCAAGAAGATTCGAGATGAGATTGGAGTTGTTGAGCGGTCTGGATGAAGACCTGTTTAGTCAGACCAGTTCGCGACCCATCACCGTCTTCCACCATACGCAAGAATTGATGGAGAGTGGCGGAGATATTTTGGTCCAATTCGTCGAAGATCATCAGCTGACTGGAACTCAATTCCGAATAAATGGGCCGCCCATTCCGCCGCATCTCTCTCGAAAGGCGGATCAAAAACAGACGAGAAAGTTTGGCGATCGGGACCAACGGTTTGACGAGTTTGAGGACCTGTTGAGTGAGTTCTTGGGGCTTGTAAAGTTCGCCATCCACTTGGACGTAAGGTTCTTGGTGGATCAGACTTGTTAGGGATTTTAAGATATCTTCAACCATTCGTTCCTCACCCGGCCAACGATCTAGAACAAGTTGGAAGTCGGATCTTTGGAGCCATTCCATAGCTAACTCGAGGGATACCGTTGAGTTCTCAGTATCCTCAAACGCCCGTGCTCTGGTATGATCTATACCCATCTTATACTTGGGCTTTTGTGTCGAAAGTTTCAGCTCCAGGATAAGTTCAGAGCACAAGTCAAAGGCGTTATTGAGTTCTGATAATAATGAAGGTTGGAGAAAGAAGTGGAGACGATAGAGTCGATAACATTTGAGTTCGTTATCATGTTGGTCATTGCCGGATCGAGTAATCGGAGGAGATTGTGAACTTTCTGGACAAGTTATATGAAAAACAGAGTGAATTTCGTCTAAACTCTTGCACAGTTGCGATTGGATTTCCAAGATGAGCTTGAGCTGGGAGACGGGTTGGCGACGCAATTGATCTGGCTCGAGTGATTCTGAAAGGTGTTCCAGTTGATGATGGAGTTGAGGTACTATTCTGGAGTGGAGTTGGAGGATGAGATCTTTCTTGAACAGTCTAGTTTCCTCGGCCGAGCGTTCATGTTCGACAGACCACATGAGCACCCATGATTGCCGATCGACAGGTGGACATCTGTTCATCAGAGCTTGGAAGCCTTGGACGACCAGATCTACGGAGAGGAACGCGTTTTAATTGGGAAAGATCAGTTACAGTCTCCTTAAGATGGCCTGGAAGGAGTAAATCTTTGCTTACCTCCTTGTTGAAGACATTCTTCTGTGGGCTGGAGTGCGTCTGAAATTGAATCTTGCTGGGTGGTGGAGCTGGCCATTTGAAGAAGGTTCTTCCACCCATGCAGGCTCCGACCCGTCTTGCGCTCGAACCATCTCGGGCCGAAGATGGGCCGGGCTTGGGCCCCAAAAGGAAATCGTCCCCGAGCCTTGCCCCAACTGGCAACAGCAACTGTTTTGACCGGGTCGGGTGGGGTCAACAAAGTCACATCCCTTCCAGCTTCAGAACCCCAATTTGCAGCAATAAATTTCAAGCCTGTTGTCACGCATCAAGATTTCTGAGGCAACCTGGACCTGGGCAAGACGCGCTGACCATACCGCGAAGTTAGTAACCAAATCGCCAACTTTCGCCATGTCCCAGAAGTCCCTCGATTCTGCGGTGGCGCAAGGCGCGGAGGTCGCTTCGCGACGATGTCACGATGCATTCAAGCACAATCCCCTCGATCAGAGTGACCGGAGCACTTCGGGAACCTTCAGGGGCGCTTTGCGCCACCCAGGTCACCAGGCCCTCCAATCGAGAGGCTGGTATATTTAAGTTAGCGATGCCTTTCGCCGCCGTAGAAATTGATCGAGGGGCTTTTTCAAACGTTCAATCAATGCTTGCCTCGTCAAGCGAGCCTCCGAAGCCAACGTGAGGAAGTGGAAACCGTCGTCGCTTTTTGTAGTCAATGGCGGCGCCTGGCGGATGAATTCATACCTACATGTGAACGGGGCGGGCGCTAGCTCAGCGCCAGAGGACTCATGAGGCTGTCACTCGTAGCCCTGCTGCATACAAGCAGAGACAAGTCGGCGCCACGCGCTAGTGAATCTGAAAGAGATTACCCAGCAGAGCCAGTTGTGACGTGGGGAAGTTCGAGCTTATAAGAAACCCTTCACAAGTCACCGAACATTCTCAACCAGTCATTCACCCAGGAGCTTCATGAGTAACCGAGTTCTCTTTTCATCTTGATTACTACCTCCACCACAATCACCAATAGCTATTTGCTCAAAGTCTCCCCCTCTAGTTACAGGCCAGCATTAAGAATCTCTTGACTATTTAGATTTCAGCGCCCATCATGAAATCTGCCAATTGCATGCTCTCAAGCTCGATCTTGCTGCTGCTGGTCAGTAGCATAGCAGCGGAATCGGGTCCTGGCCCGGCATATTGGAAGTGCAAAGATCCTTCAAACTATGCAAATTTATACTGTTCAAATTCTGATGGATCGGGTGAGTTGAGAGTGATGTTCACATATTTATCGTTCAACTCTTCGGCACTTGTGGAAAAGCTGACTTCTGCCATCCGCCCAAGACCATTACTATCCCGAGGATCTCTCAAAAAATGGAATATTCGATGACTCAGGAGGAACGTTTTTTGACTGCAACCAAAGCTACAATCCGTATTGTTGCAAGGGGAAGGTGAGGACCTTGCGATTAATTTTTGTCACGCGGAGAAACTCCTGCTAATACACAACCTGTTATGATTCACATTTTGCCCATCCAGCAAGGCGCTCCGGTCAAAAGTCTCACTAGAGATTGTCAGGGCGCAGTCGATCATGGACCATTCTGATCTTTCTTCGAAGGCCCCTTTTCACATCTCCAAGGCACTCTTGGTTCCAACTTCCGCCCTCGTCCCTACTGTTCCCGCGTGACCAACCTGTGCTCTGTAAATCTTGTAAATCCCCGTGTATCCAGCTTCAATTTTCTTTCCCTGTGTCAAAAGATCCTTACAAGGATTTCACAGATCAGGCAATTGCATTGTGCATGTGATTCCAAGCATGAAGCGGGATGGCCTTCAAAAAGGCCGGATCCATTTATAGTTTAGTAATCAATCTCCTTATAAGGCCAATGTTTTGATTAGGAGTTGGGTTGGTGGAATTTGTAAGACGTTGAGTTTTCAAACCAAATGAATTACAAAATGGATGACTTCCCGTCAACATTTGCGGGTCTCCCAGTTTTTATATAGAGCCACGAAAGCTAGATTTCCCTGCAAAAATCTCGACTTTTGGGGTCTAAATCACAACCTGCAAGGGTCCCAGATCCGACAGGAAGTCCTCCAATATCATTTGAAAAATTCCCAAGCCCCACAAAAAAGAGAATTTGCTCTAGATCAAGTATCCCAATTACTCTGATGTGTGTGAACATTGCTTGCAAGTCTGGATCCTCATACCAAACTAAACTCACTGACTTTGAAAGCTTGTCAAATTGGGGAACACAGCAACATTTGAGAAGTCTGATTTCTTTAAAACCTAAGTCTCTCCTAGCCAGTGAGAAAAAAGGGGGCCAATACTTTGTCTACAAGATTGGAAATCTTGAAACAAATATAGATGTAGAGTTTTTCATTCAGGATCCAATTATTAGCGGGGTTCACAATAGTGTTTTTCGCTTCTTGCACCCGTTAATTTTTTTTCTTGCTTGTGCTAGAGATCACTTGTTTGTACTCGGGTACCTGTTGAATTTTTTTAGAAAATAGGTACCAAATACCGCACCAGGCACCTCCCGGCGGGTACCGGCGGTACTTTTGGCAGGTACCGCAGGTACCTCCCCTCTCTTCCTCACTTAGTTTGACTGCAAGGTTCATTACAATCCTTTTGCATCTTGTTTGAGTTTTTTTGGGGGGGAATTTTTGTGACTATCATTTTATTTTAAAAACATAAAAAATATAAAGTCAAAAACAATTGAAAAGAATTTGATAAAAAAACTGTTTGTAATTGCTGAAAAAAAAAGAAACCAAAAAGAAAAGAAAAGAGAAAAGAGAAAAGAGAAAAAAAAGGAAAAAGGAAAACAAAAAAGAAAAGAGAAAAATAAAGAAAAGAACAGAAAAAAAAAGAGATAAAAAAATAAAAAGAAAAAAGAAAAAGAAAAAAAAGTAAGAAGAAAAAGTAAGAAAGAAAACTAAGAAAAAAAAAGAAAAAAAGAAAAAAAAAATGGCCTTGAGGCTGGGGGGAACCCCCCAGTGTCCCGGCCAGGTTGACCGGAAGGGTTTCCTCGCGGTCAATGAGTTAGATGTACCTCATCCATCAGAAGGGTTTCCTTCCGGTTGATGACGTACATGTACCTTGTTGACCGGAAGGAAACCCTTCTGGTCAGGGAGGTACATCAACCTCTTTGACTGGAAGGAAACCCTTCCGGTCAAGACTCATGGGGGCGGTACCCGGGTACCTCCCCTTTTTTTTCCAAAAAACCGACACCCGGCACCGCACCTGGCACCGCCTGGCGGGTGCAAGGCGGGTGCGGGCAGTACTAGGTACCTAGCAATGGGTACCGACGAACGATCTCTAGCTTGTGCACTGCTGACGTTAATTTTGTCAGTGAAAATTCAAAATCCCCCGCTAAATTTTATGCCTGCAGCAGTGCTGCAGCTTCTCACGAGAACCCAGAGAGCTTTGTGCAAGAATCTAATGTGAACCCCGCTATTAAGTCCTCCTCCAACCACAACCTGATTTGCAATATTGATGGTCAAACTTGATCTGATTCCAAGGAAATACTTTCCAGGAAGGCTCAAATTAGTAAATATAAACTATTCCTAAGGAACTAATTTTAGGGTATGATCAAGCAAGGTTGGGAGCTGTGGATGGTTTTCAATATATTTGATTTTGTAATTCTTTGAGAAAATTTATACTCTTGATCCATGGTAGACCATCAACAGAGAAGTCCTGCAGTAAAAGAAAGGCAGTTTTGTTGGAATAGCATGCATATGCATTGTCTAGTATGCTTCTAACCTTAACACATACAATCTTGTATATAACTCATACTAGATTGTAATCGGCGTTTTCCCTCCAGTGAATCAGAAACCATTATCTTCTCACTCTCAGGTGTCACAAGACTTCTCAGTCTGTGAACTTCAGGCAGCTCATCCTGTGTCCCCTTCAACAGGTTATGAGGCCCATCGTCGCTCCGCTCCAACTCAGCTTCCCTTCTTTCAACAATCTTCCCACAGCAATCATCAAAGTATTATCTCTCAAGATGCCTGCACGAACTGTCCAGAATCCCTCGGCACTCATTGGCAACGTTCCGGTCCTCGATGGAAATTCTGTTACCTTTCCAGCCTGGCGTACCCGACTTGAAGATCTCCTTGCGATTCAGGGGGTGCACGACATTGTCACCGGAAAGCTTTCTCGACCTGAAACTGACTATAAGGACGCTAAACCGGTAGCCCAAGGCTCTCAGCGGGTGTACTTTGCCGAGGAATCCGGCACCGACTGGGATTCTTTATCCGAAGTGGCTCGGGCCACTATGAAGATGACGCTATCGGTTGACTTGGCGATTCAATACAAAGACCTGAAGCCCGCCAGTTTCCTTTTCAAGACCATCTGCGACGCGTATGAGAAAAATACTCGGGCGAGGCGGATGATGCTAGAAGACTCATTCTGGTGCGCTCGACATGATTCAAATCAGCCAATTGCGAAATGGATCGCAAAGATACGCAATGCGGCATCTGATCTCAAATCCGTGAAGCTCACTCCGGCCGATCAACAAATCTGTGATCGACTCCTGCGTGGTCTAGACGACACTTGGAAGCCGATTCGGGACCATCTTGTCTATTCGCCTAACGAGATCTCTCTCGACGACGCCATTGGGGCGCTTGAGGCTCATGAGGTTTCCATGCAAGTGACGTTTGACCACTCGGGCGAGAACTATGCGGCGGCGGCTGTAACGAAACCAAAGAAACGGCTCGGCTGCTGGAACTGCGGACAAACTGGCCACCACTCCTCCGCGTGTCCTAACCCCTCTCTAAAGAACAAGTCAAACGCAACAGCAAAATCAGCTGTAGCGCGAGCTGGCGCGACCTCTGCGGCACCTCTCCGCAATTGCGGACCTAGCGATGATGAAGATGACGACATCTTGGACAAAGAAATCGACGTCGTATGGGGATGAGCCCTGAAGTAGAAATTATTTATACATTCGTAGGAAGGGCAACTCCGGCACGACCTGATGGCTAATTCTTCATGGCGATTTTGGGTATATCTGTTATCATGACATTTCCCTGCTCTTTGTTTCCATCAGATCTCTGGCCTGATTTTAATTACTAGTTTCTGTCCCCCATAAGAAATACTCTTCTCTGTTAATTCAAAGTAGTTTAGATATTTATTTTATTTTAGTTTTTGGTTTTCAGCAAGGGGGTGTGTTGGAATAGCATGCATATGCATTGTCTAGTATGCTTCTAACCTTAACACATACAATCTTGTATATAACTCATACTAGATTGTCATCGGCGTTTTCCCTCCAGTGAATCAGAAGCCGTTATCTTCTCACTCTCAGGTGTCACAAGACTTCTCAGTCTGTGAACTTCAGGCAGCTCATCCTGTGTCCCCTTCAACAAGTTTCTTGTGGTGTGTCAGATGTCTGTACAGAAGCAAAGCTGAAAGATTTTCCAAGAGAGTTTTTCATTAATATGAGGAAATCAACTAAGATAGAAATGTGTGAGAACAAAGTAAAATATAAATTTATATACATAAAAGCAGAATTTATGGCTGTGCTTTAGTTAAATCAAGACAGTATGCAATTGATAGATGAAGAGGGAGAAATATCAATAAAAAATGGAGATCAAGTGAAGTCCAAAAATGATGAGCATATAATTTTGTCAATTCAATTTTGCCATTAGATATCAATATTTTCTCCCTTTTTATATGACTGGAGGAAATTCTCTCTTGTGTTATTCTACTGAGAGAATTTGCCTTGTTTTTGGTTTTTACATAAGGCAATGGGATAGAAATCTATTTTTCTTGTTTTCAAAGAAATAATTGTGGTTAATTTTTTGCCTTCTGATTATTTAGATACACTACCAGAAAAGATGAATTTGATGATGGCATCCAAGCCGTCCGCAAATTGTACCATCAAGATGGGCATGTATGGGTTGTTGAACCCAGCAACCAAAAGTGGTAACAGGAATTCCAAAGACAAATATCTGAGATACTCTGTTGCTGTACTCTCAAGCCCAATTGGGGCATATCAGATGAGCTCAAGGTTCTGCATTGAACCTTGACCACTGTTCCCAGCAAAGCAATTGGAAAAACACCAAGTCACTGTTTCATCAAGAGAGAACAGAAATTATAAAATATAGCCTATCCTTCATGCTTGCAAGTTTTACTATCTCTCTCACTGCACAGTTTTTTCTACTCTCCTCCATCTTTTGTCTTGGAGCCTACAAGCAAAATAGTTTTTTGATTGAGTCCATATAACCCATCTGATCTTCTTTCATTGCTGCTACCAACACCCTGCTTGTGAGCCTGGGTCTCAATAGTGACAGCAGGACACAAGGTTTTTGGGGGGAACTTTTAAATGTATTTCTAAAGATAAAGGAAATACAAGTAAAAGTAGAAGAGAGGGAAGGAAGAGAAGGAAAAGAATAATATAATCTTTTTGTTCTTTGTTTATTTTCTGAAGAAGATTTATTTATGGCAGTCTTACTGTCCTTCTTGGATGGCTGCAGACAGTCTTATTGTCCTTAGTAGGATAGCTGTTATAAGCGGAGCTAACTCTGACGCCTCCAAATCAACAGAAACTGAGATGGGTATTGACACTGATAAATCAAGTCAACCACAATTTTTTAGATCAAAGATCAAGGCTCTTTAAAGGGAAACCTATGTAGTTTTCAGTTGTACTACCAAACAGGAAGAGAAGAGATAATAGAAGCTAAGGCTTGCTTTCTTTGATCAGGGCTTTGGTTTGATGAGGAGTGAAGAGAAACTGAGAGAGACAGAGAAGAGAAACAAGCAGAAAGATGCTAGCTTAACTTATGAGAAGAGACTTACTAATGATACCAATGACACTGATTAGTGGGAAAGGTAGGAAAAGTGAGGTCCTTCTGGTTGATAAGTGGTTGCTGGATCTGGGTCTGGTTGTTGGTGTTCTGTGTTGGTCTGGAGTCTGAAGATCCTGAAAATGCAAACTCAGTATCCTCTGAGAGAATTTTCAGAGTTGGATTACATAATCACAACATGTACATGTGGTAGAGGGTTGGAATTCCAACTTGTTTGATATTTCAGAAGGTACGGTGAAATATTACAAAGTCTATGAAGGAGAAGAGTAGTGTAAAAGTGTGTAGTGGTGACTAAGGTTGAAATCACATGAGAAATTCATTTCTGAGGTCAGAATGTAATAAAATCTTGAGATAAAATGGTTACAGTAGGAACATGGCTAAAAAGGAGGACTTAAGCAGTCTTTTGGCCAGCTTGGCTGGCTCTAAGGCTGACACTGCTTCAATCTTGTTTTTTGCTCAAGCCAGCCCAATTACCTGTGATGAATTCACTCCCTTCATTGGAGACAATGATGCAAATATAGAATCCTGTGATTTTCTGGGCTTCAACTTTGAATTCCAGAAAATTATTCAATATGTCTGAGTTGATCTTAAGGAATTTGACTGTTTTAAAGCTGCTTTGTTGATCAACAATCAGCATATTGGAAGCCCAATGCTGTACACGCTGCACAAAGGGACCAACCAAGTAAATGTGGACTGCTTCCAGGACCTGTCTTAGAGGTTTGAAATTCCTGGTGAACAGCAGAGCCTTCAGCTTGTACTCTTTACACACACTACACTCCATTGTCTCAGAATGAGGTACAAGGACCTTGAGATATCTGGGGTTTGGATACCCCAGTCTTCCATGCCAGTTGTGTTTATCTGGACTTGTTTGGTAACAGGTGGACATTGAATGGATCACATCAAAGTGGGAGGAGTGAAGTTCTAATAGATTGTTCTTAACAGAGCCCAGAAGTTTGAAGTTACTGTCTATCTCAACCTTAAAATATTGGTGAGAAGTTTTGATGATCTTCAATTCTTGATTGAAGAGTTGTGTGATTGAGATGAGTCAACGGTGGGCCAGCTACGCTAACCGTAGCAAAAAACCGCTGAAATTTAGCGTAGTGTAGCACTTTTCTATTTTTCTGCACAAACGCTACACACATGGGGCAAAAAAATTGCGCTAACATTTAGCGTAGTGTTAGCGCGATTCCCCCATCTGCGCTAATGCTACGTGCACAGGGCGCAAAAAGCTTCCCGCTACTCTGCGTTACAGCAGTTTTTAGCAGGTTTTGTCAGATTCTCCCTCACAGGGATGAGTCATCAAGCAAGCGTCGCAAGAATCATGCAGATGACAAGATGAAACCTAGTAAGCCTCATCGCTTAGGTCACAGAATGTCGGAAGGGATGAAACTGATCTCAGCCTCTTCTCTCCCAGACACAGGAGATGAAACGATCAGTCAAAACCCTTGGGAACAAAGCCCACGGGAGTTGCCCGACGACAGCAGTGACAAACCACCAGAGAACAAGGAAGCAAGCAAGGCACCCTCGTGAGTATTTAAGCAGGCTTCATCTCAGCCAAATCTCAGGCATCGAACTAACCATTTGCTATTTGCCTTCCAGCTCAATCATAAACAGAATCACCCATCAACCAGAACTACTCTCCAGGCTCAGCCTCAAGACCAACGAGTAAGTCCAGATCCATGAGCAATCCAGACATGTCCAATAAAGCTAACAATGTTGTACCATCTGATTGAGCAGACTCTCGCCAGGAAAAACCAGTACAAATTGACTGTCAGGACCAAGACTAGCTATTCCGGCTAAACAGTAAAGTAAACACACTTTACCAATAGCATTGTGATGAAGATGATCAGAGCTAACAACATCTTCATCATTGTAAGACTCAAAAGTGGTTGTGAAACCCTTTTGCTGAATGGAGAAGGGGATGATGGAGTTGCAAGCTCTGCCCTTCTATGCTATCAGAACAACAAGACCACCAAGCTCAGCTTGGCAGTTTATATATTGTGATAGAGGATAGTTCAAGATGAAGCTGTCAAATGATTTGTATAACGGTTAAAGGTGTTGATGGTGATTGTTGATGATGATGTTGTTGATGATGAAGTTGTTGATAGAGGTGTTAATGATTGTTGTCGAGGTTTAGGCTTGAACACAGGTCCTTGAGGTTGAGGGTATATAAAGTTAAAAAGAGGTGATTTGGAACCAAGGCGCTGGGCGCTGGGAGCACTATGCTTCAACCAGGAATGGAACAGGGGACTGGGCACTTGGTATGATGATGATGATATGAAAGTGTTATGAATATATTGCGATAAAATAAGGGTGGTTATATGACTGTGACTGGTAATATAATGGGTGGTAAGTATAAGGGTGGTTGAGATGATCTGGTCCACTGGTGGGATGATGAAAGGTACAACTGGCAGGCAGAGGCCTCCTTATATAGACAAAAGTGAGGAATTTTAGCTCCAGGGTACATGCAGCTGAGGGAATTTAGCTGTCCTGAAAATCCAATGAGGGAATTTAGCTAGTCTAATACATGCAGGCGAGGGAATTTGGCTGGTGAGAGCACTGCCTTCAGGGATTTTGGCTAGCCTACAAGGTCCTACTACAAAGGAATGCATGTGCACCTACAAAGGAATTCAATATGAAATATAAGCCAGTAAAGGAATTCAATATGAAACAAAGGAATTCAATATGAAATATGCATCCAGTATTCAAAATGAGACGTGGTCAGGATAATAATAAAGAAAAGCTCCTGTGACAGCTTGAGATAAGTGTAACTTCTGAACTAGTAGAGATAAGAGGGTAGTTGTAGTGAGTGACTAGGGGTTATTTTACCTCAGGAATCCATTTTTGATGTTATTTTTACCCTATCTTCAATATTTCGAGAGATAATAATAAATTTTTATATTTTTGGCGTAGAAACACAGGAATAATTACCACATCGTTGAACAGATCAAAACACACAAAAGAACAAAAACACTTCTATCTCTATCTTTCTCTTTCTCTAATTCTCTCTCATCTCTCAAGTCGCTTTGCGATTACAAAACAAGACCCGCAACCAATCCTTCTGCTCTTAGGTAAATTCACTTCCTCATCATCAGTATAGATTTCTCATTGTGCATAGTCATTTCTTGTAGCTAGCAGACAGATGATCTAATAAGCAATAAAAACTCTTAGCTGTCTCAATTTTTACAGGTTTTAGGTGTTTCTTTCTGCTAAAAACATTGTAGTGTAGCAGCCCCAGAGGCACGCTAACACTACACCAAAAAATGGCTAGTGTTAGCGCCGCTACAAATTAGCGTAGCGTAGCGGCTGTAGCGGTGCACTAACACTACACAAAAAAAGCAGTTGTTGGTGCCGCTATGCTAACGCTACATGGGCCCGTAGCGGCCCACTGCTGGATGAGTGATTGGTTGAGTGACGGAACAAGAAGAAAGTTTTCCAAGACAGGTTTCTTTCCTTTATGGTTTAGAATTCAGCGGTCCCAACAGATGTTGTGTTGAGGAAGTTGCTGTGTCCTCCGTTCAATAACTTCATGTTTGACACAGAGATGGGTTGGAATACATCTGGATTGTTGATCATGTGGTGGGTGGCACCTGAGTTGAGAAAAATAGGTTTGTTTGTGGCTTCTGACAGGAGCAGCGACACGTTTAATTTGTGACCATAATCAACTTCAACAAGCTGAGTAGCGGGAGCTGCAGCGGCCTTTGCAGCGGCTTGAGCCATTGCTGGAGCAACACCTGACCGGAGCTCTGGATGAAGTTTCCAGAACTTGTTGACCGTGTGACTCTTGAAGTCAGGGTGGTGCCTGGTGGGGTTGCATTTTGCTTTGTCTTGTTTCTTTTTCTTGCCCTTTTTGGTTGGATCATGCATCAGTGCAGATGCAGCCTCAGTTGGTGCCTGCTTTGGATTGAAAGGATTCCTCAAGGTGAACCAGTTCTTCAAGTTTAGTTAGAGTGGCTTGAGGGCTTTTGACTAGGACCTCATTCATGATTATTTTTTCCACTATGATCCATAGGTTTTTGGAGAGTTTTGCGGGGATGGAGAATCTAAGGATTTTGTCCGGCACACCAAGTTTGACAAGTGAAATTTTGGTCAGCATGCAATGCATTTCTGAAATAAAATCCTTCAAATTGCCTTTGAATTTGTACCACATGAACTTGAGCTAGACTTGGCCCTTGTTGTTGACACATGTGGAGGTGTATTGAGTGAAAATTTTCATCCAGATGGCAAAGGGGCTTTCCTTGTCGTCAGGAGTGATAAAGGATTCCAATGCAGTCTCACTCATGTAGTTCAGGAGGATGGCAACAACCTTGGTGTGTTTCTTGGCTTCTTGGGCAGCTCCACTTGAAGGAACAGGCAGCTTGGAGATGTATTTGAGAAGGCCTTTGTGATGTAGGTGTGCCTTAATTTGCATTGACCAGTGAAAATAGTTCCTATTGTTAATTTTAGGTATGTTAACCTTTGACAAACCTCCCTTGCTATTGGCTATTACAATCCTCTGGTATTTATCCAATCAAGACTGTAAATCTTTTGATTTTATTGACAATAAAATAGAGGATTCATTTCAGCAACAAGACAAGACAAGTAAATGATAAAGGAAAGAAACAAGAACAATAAAGACAAAGAAGAGAAGTTTACCTAGAGGACCAGGATGGTTAGATAAGCAAGACGACACAACAAAAAAACAGAGACAACCACACACCACCACACACAATACTCACAGGACAGAGACTAAGAAAGAAAACAGAGTTAGAAATAGAGACAAAGGAACAAGACAATGAGGAAAAAAATAAAACACAAGTAATCACCACAAATCTAGACCTGGAAGCGGAGGGTGTCAGTCTCTGGGTAACTAACCTGAGTGTTTATTGGTGAGAAGGTTGTTACTATGAGTTGACTGAGTATTTTTGAGCGTGGTGAGTGGTAGGTAGTGGGTGATTAATACCAGTCCTGTAATGAGGAGGTTTCACTCTATCAGTATGGTCTTTACTGAGAGGCTTGCTATCAACAGTGCATCCGGATCAATAATTGGTATTAATAAAAATCCAGGGTACTAGGACTCACCTGGGATTGATTTGGTTCCCAACAGGGAAAGGGATAACAATACTTATTAAGCTTTAACAAAATTAGTTGAAGATTAATAAATATTGTTTATGGAATATTCAGCAAGGCTATGAATATTGTGGATAAGTTGAGTAAGTTACTGAAGCTTAAGAACAATAAAAGTAGACTTGATTTAAGTTGAGTTACTTGTAACGTATCAAAATAAATGTTAACTGTGTTTAACTGGTGGCTGAATATTCTGGGGATTAATCAGTGGAAGTGGCACAGATTATAAGTTCCAGAATATTACATGAGGAAATGAATAAGTGCTCTGAGTCACGGGTGAAAGTACTAAGAGGAAGAGAGGGGTCAATTGAGTAACTGGTCTGTTAAAGATGTCATAGTATTTACTAGAGGATTAGTAACTAGTATTTGTGGTGCATTGATAAATGTACTTACTCCCCCTTCCCACCCGCCCACGCCCCCGCCCCTCCAAAAGGGGCGGGAAGTAAGACCCGCCCTTCTTTTTGGGCGGGTTTTGCTACACACCCCTCTGTTTTCTGGCATTTGCAACAAGAGGGGTGTGCAGTACAACCCGCCCAGAAAAGGGCAGGTTGGCCTGCATGCCTGGTCTGGAGTGCCAGGAGGAATCTGTAAACCCCCTCCCCCCTTGGTCAGGGTTTCACAAGATTAGAAGAGAGATGTCACAATATCTTTAGTTTTTCCGTCTCAGTGTTTCCTTCCTGGCTCAGCAGAGAACTGATCCCTACTTCTCTCTGAGCCAGGTGAGTTTCCTTTTCTATTCTCTTATTTCCTTCTTTTGTATTCTTCCACTCAGACTGTAAGAGAGAGAACTGATCCCTACTTCTCTCTGAGCCAGAAATATAAAAATATCAGTTTGGTCTTAGAAATTGTCGAAGCTGTTTGCCATCCCGTGCTCATTTCCTTTCATTCAGTGAAGGACAATCTCAGTCCTTACACTTTTTTTTTCTCACACCAAACATCTCCAACAACGACTGTTCCGAACAACTTCCCCGCCTTACTGAACTGAATTAACTGTACTGTTCCATACAAATCCGACTGCTCCGTTCCGTTCCACTGTTCCGACTTACTGTCCCGGCTACTCGCACTGCTCCGATTTCCCTCACTGTTCCGATTGATCTCATTCGCTCCGATTGCGCCATCAATTTACTGCTCCAATTTTCCATCGACTTCATCGTGACACTGCCCCATTTTTTTTTACCTACCAACTTGAATTTTATCTTCACACTCGGCTGAGTTCATGATAACGAGGACCAACGCTACTTCCGATAACATCCTTCCCCGATCAGACCCTGAAGCAATCCTCAGAGCTGGTAACGCCAAACGGAAACAAGCCACACAATTTTCCACTCAACTGGTTGACTCTACCCCCTCTCAATCAACTGGAACGATGTCTGACACTACTGTACCAACCGGGGGGCAAGAACAATCGTCAGAGTCTAACAACCGCACTGCCGACCCGTCCGAGGTCACCACAGCCAAAGAGTGGTTCAAAGCAGTCCTCAAGATTCAGCATTCATCAATCGCTCAAGCGCAGGAAGATCGACGACAAGCCATAGAAGATCGTCGAGCAGATCGACAGATCCTGATGGCCGCCCATCAAGCTAGCGCAGCCCGCATTGCCAGATTAGAAGACTTGCTCTTAGCGATGAACATCAAGAACGAAGTCACTGCGCGACCAACACAACCAACGCCGGGTCGAGTTGACCTCCAAAAATTTCGGACCTCAGATGGACCCATGTACCGCGGCCCCTTCCAAGAAACCGAGTCGTTCCTACGGTGGATACATGGTGTCCAAATTTTCTTCGAAACGAAAGACGTTACCAACGCGGCTGACAAGATTAAGATACTCGGCAATCTCATTGCGGAAACCAACTTACAGTCATTCTACGCAAACAAAGCGGCAGGTTTCCTCACGAGATCATGGGACGAATTTAAGACTCGGATGTTTGACTTTGCGCTCCCCACCAACTGGCGCTCGGGACTACAGCGCCAAGTCCGCAAGCTGGAAATGAACCCTACCGAAACGTTTCTTGAATACAGCACGAGAGCTCGCACATTACAGAGCCTCTTCAACTTCGATGCCGACAAAACGTCAAAACTGGGCAACCTTCAGCTTGCGCAGTTCGTTGTCTATGGATTAGCCAATGCCATACAAGATCAAATTAACGAGAGGCAACTCCTTGAAGTGTCACCTTTCAACTACGGGCCTTTTGAGAAACAAGCCAACACCTCCTTCCTCGCATTACAACGCCCGACCAAATTGCCAACGTTGACCAAATCAACTCCGAACGCGCCGCCAGCCCTAGGCCGAGAAGAGTTCATCTGGCGTGTACATGCATATCTGGATTCGCAAGGGCTTTGCCACTTCTGCAAAAGACACTGTGGCAACGCGTCGGGGACCTGTCCTGGACCAATTGACCGATCACACATCGACATCCCTAGCAAATTCCAGACCCCTCCTAAGCCGCCTAATTACAGCGCCCCCCGCGCCTGGAGCAAGGAAACTGCCATCCCAGGCAAACCGACTCACCCCCCTGCCGGACGACCTACAGCTCGAGCAGCGACCGTGGCGGGTATCTCAGCGGAATCCCCACTTGAAGCCCAAGTCTCAGCCCTGACGCTTGAAGCAGCAATCAGGGAAGATAACCGTTTTGACAGCCAATTTGACGACGAGGGCTGTTTCCCCAGCCTTGACACAGCAGCCATCGCCGCATTAGAAGACCTCGACAACCAATTGCTCTTGAATGAAATTGAGAAGGTCACACATGCAGATTTAGCAGATCGCATCGCGGGACACTGAAGACTCCATCGGATTGGTTGAATCAACTGCTGTTGTTCTTTTTGTTATATTTTTTTTCTTCTCTCAGTTTATCTTCAATTTTTTTATAGGAGGGGAGACTGTAAACCCCCTCCCCCCTTGGTCAGGGTTTCACAAGATTAGAAGAGAGATGTCACAATATCTTTAGTTTTTCCGTCTCAGTGTTTCCTTCCTGGATCAGCAGAGAACTGATCCCTACTTCTCTCTGAGCCAGGTGAGTTTCCTTTTCTATTCTCTTATTTCCTTCTTTTGTATTCTTCCACTCAGATTGTAAGAGAGAGAACTGATCCCTACTTCTCTCTGAGCCAGAAATATAAAAATATCAGTTTGGTCTTAGAAATTGTCGAAGCTGTTTGCCATCCCGTGCTCATTTCCTTTCATTCAGTGAAGGACAATCTCAGTCCTTACAGAATCCCTCCCGGCTATCAAGACGTGCGTTGATAAACGCACTCCCTCCCACTCCCCCGCCCCTCCAGAAGGGGCGTGGAGTAGAACCCACCAGTATTTCTGGGCAGGTTTTGCTCCACGCTCCTCTACATGCTGATTTTTTTTGAAAATCATCATGCAGAGGGGTGTGCCACAATCCCCGCCCCTCCCTTTTGGGCGGGATGCTACACAACCCTAAATTAGGCTGATGTAAGCAAGACACTCTGGAGTGTTTTGCTTACATCAGCCTTCCTATGGCGATGGAGACTACGCTCTCCATGGCCATAGGAGATTCACATCCGGCCAGGAGGTGGAGAAACCTCCTGGCCCACAGTTGACGGTTGGGAGGAAACCTCCCGGCCGTCAAGACTGTACATCTTGATGGGCCGAGAGGAATCCTCTCGGCCATGAGACTGTACAATCTTGACGGCCGGGAGGGATCTCTTGGCCGTTTGAGACTGTACAGTCTCAATGACTGGGAGGAATCCCTTCCCGGCTGTTGGGATTGTACAGTCTCGACGGCCGGGAGGAATTCCTC